TTTGCCTAGGGGTTCAAACTGTTTCTGAAGATGGTACTATAGCCGGATTTAAACCCGATAAAAATCTAGCCCGAACACTGAAAAGGGAAAAATAGGGCCTGACTGACAACACATGACGTACCGAAGTTTCGACGCATCATCTTCTCGTTGGTAAAGCTCGCGCATAGCACGTATCTGCTCCTCCTGACTCACTTCATCCGAATCGAGAAGAGCAGGAATCATCTGAAAACGTGACGGTCCGAAACCAGTTTATAAACTAACACGGAAGAAATAGAAAGATGGCGGTACCTGTTCTTGCATAAAAGAAGTTATCTTTCCGAATCCTGTCAGAGCGGCTGCATAGGGGTTCTTCATGAAACGCTAAAGAAAAATTACGAATCAATTAAGTACATGAATAACAAATAATTTATAATACAAAAAAACGCACCGACAGCACATCATCATTCTGTCCGAGAGCGATCACACTCTGGGCAAGCGCTTCTGTCTTTCCGTCCACAACTAGGACTAGATTTGGCTCACGAGCCGACCTTCGTAATGTTATGTATCTGAACAGAGGAAGAAATAAATTGAATATTGTCAGAAATGCGACAACTACAAATCATATGTACTTCCGATATCTAACATATGGGATTTATAAATCTCAAAAATACCTCTGAAGAACATCGACAAAGCCCACAGTTGATTCCGCAGTGAAATACAATGGAGTGTAGCTACTTCCATCCTTACAAATCAAACGAATATATGGATGACCTTGCCCTGAAATGTTCGAAACATAAAGATAACTTGTAATGTAAGCATTTGAATTTTCATTAAAAATCTTGCTAAAATTAAAGGCTATACTGGTTGTGCCAACGCCTTTAGTCAAGGACTGAGAGAGGTATGCCTAAACGCCCTCTTGCAGCCCTTCCACCAATGATGCTGGCCTCCAGCACTGCTTTTAACCACAAAAACTCAATTAATTGGAATACAAGCAGAAGAAGCCAACTGAATTAAGACTAACCTTTCTTGGGCTCAATGCTTCTGAAACTACTCAAATCATTCACATCCATGGAAAAAGCGAGTCTGTTCATCAATTCACCACTCACCTAAAAGAATATATTTCTCATAACAGTGACAATACAAAGAACGCTAGCACTACAAAATCCTCAAGGACTAATTTTATCTTGGTTGTGGATACAATTCACAACCACGCAATTCAGTCTCTTCCCAATACAGAGCGGAAAGATCCCAGAAAAGCAGATATCTAAATTTTTGAGTTGTTTTGTTACAGTGAAAACTGCTTTCTTTTGCAATTTGCCTTACGAAAGTTTGGGCAAGAGTGGTGAGCTGCTGGCAAAATGCTTTGACGCGCTTCTTCAGCAGGGAGTCGTACCGAGTGAAAGAAAAACTCGAATCAATTTTTCACTCTCTTCTTTTCCCTTTGTTTTTTTTGTGTTGCTAACGGTTAGGTGTTCGTGTTGATGGTGCACGTTATGTGCTAACAAATAAATGAATAAATCAATAAATAAATCAAATGCTCTCCCAGCAAGTTACTCAGCAGCATGAGCACCGCTAACTATCTAGGTCAAACGAGGGTTTGCCTGTTCGAGTAGCAGACAATGCGAACTGTTTTGCTCAAACTCAGTACTCTTGAGCTAATTTTCCCAAAGTGTTCCCTTCTAGAAGTCTTTCCTCTCCCTCGTTCAGCCTAAACAGTTAGATCAATGCCCTACGAATGAAGAAAAACTTGCAACTAACTCTCTCCGGACTATTCGATGGTGAATGAAGAGTCCTAGTCTCTCCACCATCTTCAGCTAGAACCCATCCAGATGTGTCTGGACCGTAGGTTATACCATTTTCTTCGCAAGGCGCCCATTCGATGAATACACCAACAGCCTAGAAGAAAATGACCACGAAATCATCCGAAATGATGACAAATAACTAAAAACTCTACAAAACCAGAGGCAAGACAACAAAATAAAAACCAACCTTCTCAACAACAGTCAAAACACCAGGAATGTACTCAGCTGAATCATCAGTCGCTTTCGTTGACACTCCAGATATACGAAGAACAACCTAAACATTATCGGACAGTAAGAGTAGAATCTTTTTTGGAATGCGCCACGCACGCAGTCTAACCACAAAAATGGCAGCTCTATGGTTCATACTATTATTTGTGAAGGCCTACAAATGCATAAATAGTTTGATATTGATTTGATTTCATATAATATCTTTATCTTTATTATCATTTCTCTAACCTTTCAATGAACTAGGGGGGATCCAAAGAGTGTGTGATTCAAAGAGTAAAAGTCAGTGTTTTTATCTGGAGGACCAGGCAAATGTCACGAAGCGATTTCAGAATGGTTGGAAAGCCTGGCTGGCCTGGGGGGAAGGGGGCAGCTGATTCGATATTTGGTCCCTGGTTTGTCGAGCCCTTTTTGATTTGTCGAGCTCAACTACTGGGCTTACTCAAAGCCTGCTGTTTTATTCTAGAATAGCGACGAATAAAAGCGCGACATTCTAGTAAAAAGGTGGGGGATACTTGGTGGAACAAGCGGTAGGGCTCGATTGCCAAGGAGTCCTTCCGAACTACGAAAAGTTATTAACACTGTTTCTACACCATTTTGTCGATTTCAATTATCTAGGGTGATATTTAGTGCTGGAAGGAACGACGGAGCAGCGAAACAGTCCTAAATCGAGAAGGATTCGAATTTTGAATGAGCTTGGGTGAAGAGAGGGGGAATAGCTCTCTGGAGGAAGATCCGATTCAAAGAAGTCTGAAATTCGGAAGCGTACAAACCATTTCCTGAACCTTTACAACGAAAGTGAGAAGGATGAAGCCTTCGCCGATGACCAATCCTTTCTGGGACACGGCATGCATTCTACTCCCATTCAGAACTGCAGTGGCTTACTGAATGCAATGTGGCCTGTAGAATGATATCCGGGGGTAAGTCAATGTACGAGTCATTATCCTCTCATAGAGATCTGGTACCAATTTACCGTCTCCGGAGGGTGAAAGGCTTGGATGGCTTTAGCGGTAGCCTATCCGGGATTTTATAGCTGAACCGCGCGCGGGGCCACTGGCCACTACACCACCCCTTGAACGTTAGCAATAAAACGAAGTTTTCCCCGCAGCTTTGCATGTCAAGGGTGTTTCTTTATTCGAACAGCATATGTGAAAGAGGAAAAAAAGGAACTATTATCACGTTTCCTAGCGTTTTGTCAATTAACAGGCATGACGGAGCAGAAAAAAAAGAGAAATGTAACTGCATTAAGAATCAGCCTACCTGATCCGGGATCATGGAGCGTGACAAATTCGAGGTCAGCGATTCAAGAGTCGAGTCCATCTCACGTTTGGAAGCTTCTCGTTTATTTTTTACGTATTTGTAAGCAACGTATGGTAACATAAATTGTAGCCTAAAAGTAAGGGCTTCTATTAGACCATAACTAGAACACTGGTGGCAGCGAGAGAGACCACCAAGCGGAACACATATAATTGACGTCATTCGCATAATCAATACTCAACGACAAAAAAATGAATGCCCCGTTATTCAGCGATGAAATATAACAGCTGGAAAAGTCTGCAATGAGAACACAAGACAAAACAGATAATCTTTACAAATTACTCGTAATTCTAAGGCTGTTCATGCGATGGTCTACAGATTCCCGTCCCAACATCACTGTTAACCCTACAAAACGAATTCAAAGCTGGACTTCATTAACAACGAAAACCTAAAGAGTGTGAGTGTAATCCGCGTAATGAGCTGCGGAGGAGGAGAAAAGGAGACTTCGTTTGCAGAGCGCACCCAAAAACCGTCGTGCGGAATCCTAATCATGCCTAATTTCGCAAAAGCGAAGAGAGGCAGATGAACGAGCTTAATATTCAGATTGACCTAACATTTTTCTGAATCTTATTCCACCTACGTCACAAAATAAACGCTAAGCGAAAGATTCAGCAGAAATGCTGCGATAAGAGTAATTTAGTTGAAGGCAACACCTGTGTTTTAGGGGACGAAAGGGCTTGGTCGGACGAGTTCTCTCAAGTTGTTGCCAACTACTTGACCTTATCACCTGACTCCCACCATTCAAAATTGAGAGAGTTAGATGCGGAACAACTGCACCATAAGGAAGCTTTTAGAAATGAACGTAGGGCGTTGCGGTGGCCAGTGGGCGGAACCGGACCTCATCGGGCGGGTCGCCCTTATCACACGCAATTTCGGACGAAAATGGTACATCCTCTGCTTGCTTGCAGGCCTATCTAACCCAAGAAGACGTCCAAACATAGAATGAACGGACACGGTGACTTCAAGATGGGGGCCCCCATTGACAAACAAGTTTTTTTCCGTAAATTGTGGACATTTTTGTTCTCAACGAAGTAAACTATAATTAGCTTTCCATTTCATGAAGTTCCACAAACATCATCCTTCACTCACGTGATTCGCATGAATAATCAATTTTCAACCAAAACAAGATTTGAAAAAGGTGATTCTGATTACTAATTAGTTAGATTTCCAAAGAAAGAGCCTGTGTAGTGGAAAACCTGGGAATAATTGAGGATTATAATATTTTCTTAGAAGCCGAGCAAACTGGAAACACTTACTGAATGGATTAGAAAACCATGCAGTAAACCTTCTAACTTTTATAGTACCATCTGCATGTCAAAGGAATGCAAATAGAATTTCGAAGCCTCATTTTTTTTTTCGGGGACTCGTACATTAGCAAATGACTCCCTCCTACTGCATGAACATAAAAACAGCTGATTCATGAAGAAAGACCTCCCGCGCATGGGATAAATGCTTTTCTGAGTCCACACTGTAAACTGTTTTCTTTGGATGTGCCACACCACACATGATCTACTAGATAATTTCTAGGAAAAGAAAAACGAACGGGACTTGTAAACGGTGGGTGCTGAACTACAGGTATGCAAAGAAGAATAAGGCCTAGATTCTCCAGCTCTCTCTTCTTGCAACCTCGGCATATTAGATGTAAGTTCTCAACTTCTTTTGTGCCTTACGAGGTTGATAGGTGGAACTATTTATTCAATATGGCCTAACGGTTCTAATCGTCGTCATCAGAGGCCGACAGTTCCACCTTATTAGGGACAGTGTCCGCTGCCACATAAGAGCGACAGTTAGTTGCAAAATCTTTACATCAACGTTTCGACTGAATCTTCCACCTATCAAATGTGCAGGTCCTTCACAAAACATTTCTATAGAGACAGCAGAGTGATCATTCGTTTTCAAATAACAAGGCACGTCGTACGCTTGGGATCCCCAGTGAGGGGGAATTCCTAGTTGATCACTGGAGAGGAGGGTAATATCTCTTTTTAGAAAAAATGTTCTTGATTGAGACTTTTGCGGCTTTTTTTTCTGTTTCAAGTGCGCACTATTCCTCCCACCACTCTGCTCCATCGTCGCGCTTGACGGTAGTTATTGTTTGGGGAGGGTGGAGGCGTGGAAATTTTGAGGAATTCTCAAAATGCGAAATTCTGACAGAGGTGGAAAGTGGGGAAATCTAGGGGAGACGTGGGTAGCATAGAGGATGGGAAGGAGACCGTAGAAGGCGAGAAAATTTTTAGTGGGGGGGGTCGTATTTTGCAAAATTTTACCCCATTGGTAGGCCGTGTCCTGCCTGCTATTCACTAACTGAGCTCCATGTAGCCGTAGGCTCCTTCGTTATATTCTAGTGATGAAACAAAACGTTTAGCTGTTTAACTTTCAAGATTTTGCATGCTCCTGAGATAAAAGTCAGAAATGCTACAGGGGACATGGTGTTTGGTGGGATAGGGTGCAATTTTAAAGTTTCGAGCCATTTTTAGACCTTGGAAGAACGACGAAAGGATCGACGCGTGGTAATATTGCAAGTTGGTAGGGGCCAAAGTCTATAATCAGTATAGAATTTCTCAGAAAAGAATACAGAATCTGATAGGGGGATATTTAATAGGTCATCTCTTCCACAATATTTCAAGTATTCAGTTCATGGTCAGGTTACAGAAAAAAAAAGATAGCACACTTAGAATTTTTGAGATGGGGAAATGGCGCAGTTGGGTCTTGTGGGGGCAGCTGAAGAGCTGTAAATTCTGTAACGGGAATGTCTTATTTGTACTATTTCACGGCTACACAAGAGCTTAAAGCCGTGCCATAATTGGACCTATTAGTTAAAATGTGCTTTAAAGGAACTAGGGGTAGTTCGCTAGGAGCAACTTGGGAGGGGCAAAATGTTCCTCCCGCCTATCAGCGCCGGAAAAAGCTGCGAAACGTATATTCTTTCAACCGAATTTACTTTGAAAGTTTTTTGTTGGCAAAAATGACGGTATAGAGGGACTTGGAATACACGAATTATTAAGCCTAGCATTAAAATATGAGTTTAAATAAGCTCGGGAAGAACGGGATTACTAGAAATCAATAATGTAGGCATGTGACAATTGCGAAACGGCGCCTCGTCCACGAATTGAATCAAGCTGATTCATCGATGTGGAACTTGTGCGGCCAGATCGGGACGGCTAGATAGAGTTAATGGATGCCTAGCACGATTTTCAGGCATGAAATATCCTTAAGATAAACTCAGATCTTCAGGCAAGGCTACAATACAACCAACGACTTTCAAAGCTCTCTTGTCCATTTCAGGACGAATAAGACGTTGATAGAATACAAAACTACGGTTACCTAAAAAAATTAGAATTTGCGGATGTACCGTTGGTGGTGCCGGTTGTGGAAACTGTGACGCCCCCAATGACACATTGAACAAACGATGAGTAATCGCTCAGCGAACGTCATTAGAAAAACCACATGATGGCAGAACTCAGAACTTCTAGTACTACAGGGCCGGCTGTCTGTTGAGAAACGTCAGCAGTTGTAACAGGCGTGAAATAAATTGTGTTGTGCAATCTCACAACTACTGGGAAAACATTTCTGCCCCAACTGCAGACGACTAGCCTTTAGCAGATATTTGCTTTGCCTTTACAATAAATTTGATGGTCTTCTCATGTACTACCAAGGATTTGTGCAGTTCGGTAAATTATCAGAATTGCGAAGGGGGATTGTTAGGATACAGCGTGTCGTTTTCGTGAAATAGTTCGTCATCATACGGTACTCCCAATTTCGCACACAAGTTTTTTAGAACAACGAAATGCAAGTAGCTTTGTTTCCGTGCCATCTTCGTAAATTTTCATGCCGGGCGGCATTCAGGGCTGGGGAGTTCCGAAAAATGACTGTGAGCCAAGAGTTCCCAAGAGTGAGATGAGGGTTCTCTACGAGAGAGGGATCCCTGAGATAGGTGGACTGGGTGAAAAGCAGTTTTCACCATACACAACAAGGTCGGTAATACTTTCCCTACCCAGCTATGGGAGAGGAAACTGTTTTCCGCGGTATCAAATGGATTGGGTATTGTGCGCCAAAGTCCCCTTCATTTTGGAATTCTACCAGTTCTGCATTGAAAGGCGAGAATAACCCAAAAGGAATCAGTAGGAATCGGGTTTCCAGTGGTACAGTCACAGTCCAAGGGTCTAGAGGCGTTATGGTAACAACTGGATTTGCAGCTTTTAACCTGCATTACCAGTCGTCCCATAGGTGATTGAATTTTTTTACCAGGCGTCAGAACCCCCACCTCTCGTCCCTAATGTGAGCCAGAATAGTCCAGTAGATCCTGCCATTTCTGAGTGTACGATTCCATTCCTTTCGTGGAGGGTTTTCAGAGGAATTCTGACTATAGGGCCGGTAACAGTCCTGGAGCTTATCGAGAACCATGTCTAATTGTTCCAGCCCAACGATCATCACAAAAACGCAGGACGTCCGGCCTGCCATATGTTCCATTCTTATGTGAATGCTGATTTTTGATCGTTGACCTACTTCGGGACTCCTGGTCTCCTTTTGCACTTAACGGGGAGCTACCATAGACGTTCATGCGTGGAGAAGTGGAAAGACTTGCTTCTAGGAGTTAACGGGCTATTATATCACCTCCACTTTGAAACATTCTCAAGATTTGTGGGGAAAATAGAAGCGGTGAAATTTGTGCTTACGGGATCACTCCGAACGAGGCACCCTCACATTATCACATTAGCACCACTTTTTTTGGAAACAAGGGGACACGGGGTGATGTACAACACAACCGAAAGGGTGGCCATTGTTCGCTCATACCGTGATGGGCTTTGGTGAATACGTTTCACTAACGTGGGATTTCAGGGGGAATGTGATAGAAAAGCTAGAGTGAAGAGTCGTTTAATGGTCTAGAGTGCAGTTCTCAAATCTTGAGCCACATTTGCCTCTGAGGACGACGATCTGCTCGCATACTATATTTTTTTATTAAGCGCTATGGCTCCAATATAACATAGAAAAAGTTCATCTGCAATAAAAAGTGTTCTTTTCAAGGTTGAGAGCGCCTCTCAAGCCACTAGTTGCAAAGGAATGTTTTTTAAAGGGAAGAATGCAAAGCATTGCAAAGAAAAATGGACGGCAAAGGTAAACGAAAGGGCACAAGTGAGCTGTACGATAGTAAGCTGTATTATGTACACGCTCTACATGAAAGGCATATTAGGAAACAATCAGAAAAAAAACTTCATTTCCGTTTTGCACGAAGGATAAAATACACGTACGATACACAATGTACATTCTCATGAATTCCGGTGAGTAACACATAGGCTTTGAGACAAGAAGTAACAGATTTTCAACATTTTCCTCTGAATCATTCTAATCAAGGAAAAAAAAACCGATGGGAAATCAAGCAAAATCAAGCACCCGCATCACCTAGAAGATTGACAACTTCTGAAATTACAAAGAACTCAACAGGGGACAATAAAGAAGTGACAATAGATCAGATCGGTAATGCCTACTCGAGCAGCTCGATTGGTTGGACTGAAACATCACTGGTTTGAATTTCTCATAAAACTGGGAATTAATTGGAATTTCGGTGATACAATTGATTTTTGGCTTGGGTTTACCGTGAATCTGGCTCGAGGTCTTTTTCGAACAGGGTTTTCCAATCGTTCGGAAATGTTTCAAGGTTACTCTTGTCCTTAAATGAGAGGACGTATGAACCAATACCTATGCCTTTTCCGATGGTACAGTCTTGTTCGCTGCGGATGCTGGTGCGTGTCATGGGGCTGGGTTTGGCGCGGCGCCAGCTCAATTTTCCACCAAATGTTCCCGCCTGCCCCCTTCAGCAATTGGTGGAGAGCAGGCTGGCCTCGCACCAATCCTCCCACCACCCTTAAACGTCCCATCATGCGCAGCGAACAATGCTGCAACATCATAGATTTCGCCCTTTTCTTTTTCTTAAGGTAAGTAAGTGTGGATATCTACATTCCTAGTAGTTTCCTACCTTATTGGAAAGTTACTAGGTGAAAACTAGTATAATAAAACCCCAAAACCCCATTTGCATCTAATCCATCTATTTTCCATCCGCAGATTGAAATCATACTGCACCGCAGAAGCTGCAGAAGTATCCCATAGTCCCGAATCATCTCCAGTTACATAGGGGACCAGAACCATTCCTTTCAAATTTCGCCACGTCCATCCGAGTTGGATGGCAATCTGCGACTTCGCCCAGCGCATGTGCAGCTGTTTTACGTGATAAACGTACTCCCCATCTTCTGACAGCCCTTCCTACCACGGGCACCTTGTACGTTGAGGATCTACGGCGACGGGGATGTAATTTCCCTTGTAAAAAAATGTTTTCGGTTTTTGGCTTTCCTCTGTTGTTCCTGTTTCGGTTGCGCTATATACTCCTACTCCGGAGAAGGTATTTTCGAGGGGGCGTCGTATTTTGCAAATCTTCTCCCCAACGGCAGGACTATACTATCCATTAGAGGTAACTAAATTCACCTTTACTGCTTTGATAGATACTCGGGACAATCAATCATATCCTCCATGTTCATATTCCTCTTATTGGTGCACAAGCTGTATGGACATTGGTAGAACATCGCACGACGAGCTTTATTGCTTGCAATATATTCTTGAAGAGTCGTGCGATCATATACGTGTCCGCAATGCTGGAATATTTTTAAGATATCAACCATTCTCAGTACAGCTTCAAATAAACTAACCTTGCTTTTGACAGGATCTTTAATTTGTCCGCCACCTAGAGGATCTCGTAGCTTTCGTACTACCTCAACTACTCTCATTTCTTCTTCACCTTCTCCAGCATTCGAAGAAGATGCTTCAGCTTCGTCTGATTCTGCAATAAAAGTCAAAAGTCGCAATTTCAACGATAGGGGAAGCAGAAAGGGTGGATAAACATATGATAAGAAGATCGAGATGAAGTATTATACTGGTTAAACGGAAAATCAATTGACACTCTAAACGAAATGTAAACCACAACTCCTTGTAAACCCATTGTTAGCGCACTCCTCCCCCTCCTCCAAATCAGTTTACAATGATCAAAAGTGTTTGAAAAAAGGTGATGATTTTTCTAGAAAGGCCCCTTGGTCCGTATGGCAGAGCTCTTTGGTCTATCATATATTACACAACTATAAGCCCACCTAATGGTTCAGGACGGCGAGCACGAAGTCTGGCAATAACATCCACATTGGATCCAGTGGCATCCGAACCGGCACATCTGAATATATCGTCACTCATTACTTGCTCTATCAGTAGGCAGTCAAATCCGCGGGCTAGTTGTACAGAATCACTACTTTT